ATAGAAGAGTAATACATGATCATTCAGAAGACTTCTGATGATTAATGCTAAACTAACAGAACGTAGAGGTTGCCCATATATGAAGACAGCAAAGTTGTATTACTGCATTTAAACAGTGATTTAATAAACAACTGCTATCTTATAGTTATTGAAATTTTAGCCATTTACAAGTGAGGAAAAATATTATACCCAGGATATCACCTCTTACACATTTTCTTTCATGCTCAGAATGTTTCAAATGACATCCTATTAAAGAGGTCCTTATGCAGATGGGTTCCCCGTTGACTCTGCTTGTTGGGAGCCAATTGTAAAGTGGGCAAATGGTGATCAAATGATTGCGAGATGCTGCAACAGTCATAAATGGCTATTTATGTGATCATGTGATTGGAGGAACATCGCAATGGATGCAAATATCATAAAGTTACTTTTTCAGCTGCCATAATTTGAACAGTTGCTAAACAAAGCAATTATTAAGCAAAGTCCAACAGTCTAAACAATAGCAATGCAGACGCAATCACATACTGTCATTTATAAGAGGAAAAATAACAAATTTCATTTTCTTCAAAAGCCTGATAAAAATGAATAAAATATTTAATTATTTTATTCATTATATTAAACAAAAATTATTCCTAGGCAGGCTTCAAATACAGGATTGCTTGTTAATCACTTATGAGGACATTTTCCCCTCTACTGGCCATTCTCTGAAGGTTTCTTATTATATTGCAGAAAAACTTTTAAGTGAAATACTAGAAATTAAAATAACCTGTACACATAAGAAAGCCTGAGGTATATTTAACATGCTTCAGACAGTCAAAGGGTTTTACATATAGTTCTTACAAGTACCCTGTAAGATAGAACAATATTAAAATATATCATAATAAAAATTATTATTGAGGACTATCATGGTTATATATCTACACATATTTATACACACACATACTCATGCATATTATCATGGCCAATTTGAATTTTAATAATAATTAAGTAATTTATTTCCTAAGAAAAGATGCAGATTTAAACCAATGGGTTAGATCTGTGGCATGAAAACAGAAAAGTGAAGAGTTTTCTTCAATTTCTCCTTCTTCCTACAGTCAATCCCTGCAAAAATCTGTTCCTGTGGTCTGAAGGACTATCCAGTATAGTATGCAAAACTGGAATTATAGGATAAATGTAAAAAGGGGGTTGGGTACTATTCTGTTATTTTTCCAGCAGGAAATCTACAATTGATCCATTATTCCTTTTGCAAATGTTCACAGGAAGACTGAAACAAAGAGAGCCAAAAAAATTAACTGGAATGAATATCCCCTATAACAGCAAATTATATTGGAAAGCTACGGACTTTTATAAAACTATGTGAAACTGTATTCCATTGTCAACATTTTCTAATTGAAAATGAAGTTATTCTAATTTCATCAAAAATCATATTTCTGCAAATGTTATTTATTATTTTAGATATTCGCAGTCTTTAACAGATTCATAGGGCAGCAATTAAAACAAAAACCGGGAATTCTCCAAAAAGAAGAATTAAGAATGTGCAGAAAACTAAAAAAAAACCTGGGAAAACAGGGACTTTGCCTGATGTTGAAATGATACTTAAAATATTATCTTCAGCTGGACGAATCTAGGAAGAACATTCCAAAACGCAGATTCCACCCTCCACCCTTGCAGAAATCCACATCTCAGATACTGGGAACACACTAAAAGGCTATTAGAAGGCAGACATATGACATACATGAGACAGTGTTATTTGGACTTTAGATTCAAATAAGATTTTAACAAATACACTATTTGTTCTTTCACAAACCATTCAAAAATGGCCTGAATAATTTACATTTGATTGTAATGTAAAAAGTAGGTGATCAAAATTTGTGAACAAAACAGACAGAAAAGGAAACTAGTCATAATAACACAACATACATTAATTTTCAACACTCATAATGTTCCACACTATCACACCAAATGATAGTGATCTCTAAACCTAGCTTCAATAGCACAGCAGCTGAGGCACGGACCTGTCAAGTATATTAAAGACAGAGCAACTAACAGCAAATCTTAAGATTTTGTACTTGGCCTGTCACCAAGGCCATTAGTGTCAGAATGACTAGAACAAAGATGAGGATGATGTGGCAAACTTTTATTCTGACTCTTAAGAGGTGGTTCAACCATAAAGTCACTCATTGCCACTCCTAAAACACATTTGTTATTACTAACTTTAGTAGAAAGCAACAAATAATGCAGAGCTCTCTCGCTTAAATAGAATGGAATGATTTCCGGTAAGCTCAAGATTGCACAGGCTTTACGCCTAACTCAGTGGGATCATGCCGAAGAAAACCAAGCCGAAGGATGAATGCCATTATGTCATCAATCACTGTCCCTGATTTCACACAATACTTATTATATCTGCCGAATGGTCATCTAGGAGTCATAGCCAGAACTCTCTAAAATAAATTGTTTTACTGGCAAGATGCTATTCTTCTACATGCAGTATCATGGATACCGTTTACATACCATATCCTCTTTTGAAGATGGAATATCAAGCAGTAAAACAAGTCACTTTTTTCAGGAGTATGGAAGACTATGGTTACTTTTTAGTGTTTAATTCTTGTGGAGGTCGCAGCTAGCATATTGAAGGATTATCTAAATATTATCAGAATGAAGACTCATACAAAGCCCTCAACAACAAAACCCTCAAAATCTTACCAGAACCCTCAACAAATCTGAGAATGTATGATGAAAGCTGCACCATCAAATGAGGGCTTATTATATTAAAATTGCTTCAAATCTACAATTATGACCAAACTCTGTCTTCTTAAAAGCCTTTGTCTGTGAATATTTGAAAAGTGTATGTCATTAAAAAAACTAAAAACATGGTAATATTTCCATTGGTCGGGGCATCATTCCTTGCCTATCCCCATATCTAAAATTATCCAAAAAGGTATACCCATGAAATATTTTGTATACTATATAGGTTCATATTATTGAAATCTTACTTAGGCAACTTGTATCATCACATAATAATAGTTAAATGACAAAACATGCAAGCTTGTAAGGTATTTCCTAGTGTTGAATATCTTCATTGTTGCATTAGAAAAAGTAACACAACACGAGTCCAAATAAAAGACAATGAAATTATTCTAATGATAGCCTCATTTAGGGAGCAGACTTTTGAGGATGCTTCTGGTACTCATTGCACATTAGGAATTCTATTAATAGAATTCAATGTTGCTTATCTTAGGCCTTGGCACCTTGTGGTCTCTTTAAAGGTTGCCAAGGGAAAAGATTTTGAAAGTCACAAGTATCACAGCAAGTCCAGTACAGGACACATTAAAGCAATAGACAGATCATAATTCTGACCTTTTTTTAACACAAAAATAAAAAATGAATCCCAAACAGCCTGTAATTTTAAAGTATTTTATTATTTTAACTACAAGTTAATTATTTGAAATCATTGATAACTATACTTTATGGATTTTCATATTCTGCAATATTAACTTCAAATTAATGTTTTGCTTTAGAACTCCAAGAGTTCTATTAAGGAAGAAGCAACAAAGGGAAAATATTCTATATATTGTATATTATGACAGATTTTTTTTTACTGAGGACTATTTCATCAAAAATAATATTTTCTATTGGTAGTAAACACAGATCAAGATAGTTTGATATCAAAAATTATCAATTTAAAGCATGTTATCCTGAAAGTTAGACCACACTTACCAAACTAACCTGATCTTGCTCATTTCTAAACAAACAAAACCAAAAAAGAAAAATCTCTTCCTTCTATTTTTCATTCTTCTGATGATGAAAGCAGAGACACAATAATGTTAGATTAATCAAAAATATCTGTATGGTTTTATCTTCCCCCACTCAAGAGTACAGAATATAAAATGTGTATTAGTAATTTTAAAAAACACATGCAGTGTGTGTTTCAGTGAGAATAAGAATATTTATTTGGGTAGCAAATGATTTCTACATAAGAAAACCACAGTAACCCTAGTAAAAGAAATAATTGACAAACAAGAAACTGTTTGGGTCATTTTATAGGGCTTAATTCATCCAACATAGCCACAGGAAGAGTACCTTTGTTTATATGGCAAAGGTTTTTTTTTTACATTAAGTTCAAGTAAAATATAGCAAACAAAAATAAATAACAAAAGAATTGATGTCTACTAACTGCTCCATCGCCATTACTATGCAACTAATAATCTTATTTAGTCAAACTGTTCAGAGGCATAAGTCTGAGCTGGGCTGTCCAATTCACGTAAATGACTTTTTCATGTCATCTATGAAAAAAAGGAAACACTGGATGGGCAGAGGAGCAATCTGGTCACTATGGAGAGTCCCACCAATGTTCCCAAGGAAGGAATCAGTACAACAGTATTAAGTCTATTGGTGAATGATCAATTCCAGGACCTACAGAAAGGAGTCCTAGAGAGGGGGGGGGGGAAGGCAAATGGAAAGAAAAACAACAGGTTCATTCCCTGAACTAACCCTCTCCACTTATCTGAGGAACCATCCTCCACAATCTCAAACTCTAATCTACAGCCTATGACCCAACCCAGGCTCCCAACCCAGCCACCCCAGCCCAGGCTTTCCAATAAATAAATTACTTTATTGTCATTGTACGTGTATACACAGTATAGCCATACTGTGGCACTTAACACCCAGGTCCAACACACACAACAATCCCCACAAACACACTCCCACCCACTCCCACCCACCACCATTCTCTATTCACAATTCTATTGCTGTGGGCAATAGCTAAGCCCCAGGAGTAGAAGACTTGCTTGCAACCCGTCGGAAGGGCATCCCGAGCACAAGCAAATGACTGGGCAACGCTCTCATCCATCGCTCTGGACTGATAAATCCCCGGAGATTCCGGGATGGCGAAGAAGGGCGAGAAGCGACCACTCGCGTTAACAGCTGCGCTCTCCCCCCTCTCCATCCCCGGCAGATTTGGGGCGCCGAGGTGTTGGGTGCAGGTGCTCCGCCCTGGGAAGTACCTGATGTAGCGCTGTCAGCCCATCTACGTTGGCCGTGTTAAGGCGGGCTCCGCGGGCCAGCAGGCGCTTCACCTCCTCGGTGTCTCCGCTGGAGCAGGCGGCCAGAAAGACGGCGCCGTCCTCGAAGCGCACACGGCCCCCACCGCGGTGCCGGCTCCGGGCGGGAGTCACCGGCTCCAGTTCGGTCAAGGAGCCTTTCCAGCGCTTCAGCTGCTCCGCCCGACGCAGCCTCGCCGATTCGGCCCGCTTGATCCCCAGGTGGCCAGGCTCCGACATGGTGGCGATGGCGGCAATGACAGCCGAGCCTCCCCGTCGGTCTAAGTGCTAGGAGAGCGCTGACCGCCCCCAGCCCGTGGGAGAGCGAGACGGCCCGGCCGCCATCTTCCCAACTCCCCCGCCCCCTCCCCGGAGTTACTGTGGCGCGAGCGCAGAGTTCAGCTTAAAGGATCATGGGAAAAGTAGTTCGAAGGGGCTTCATTGAGTGGGTGTCCCAGGGTGGAAGATTAGTCTTCCAAGGATGTCTTGTCTCCCTGGAGCGCAGATTCCTAGGCTGTCGGAATTAAGGGAGACGTGTTATAACCCAGTCGTGCTGCCGACGCCAGAAACAAGTTATTGTGATTTATTACCACTTTCAATAAGAGCGTTTGATCATTTTCCCCAGCAGCAGGTAAGCACTTTTTGCCTACCTTAAGGCAGTGTTTCTTAAACGTTTTGCTCTCAGCACCCTTCCCACTTTTAAAAGCTATGCAGAACTCCGAAAGAGCGTTGTATGCATTATGACCACTAATATTTACCATATTAAAAATTAAAATTTATGTATTTGTGGCGTGTGTACTTATTGAATCATACAAAATAAATATATTAAGCCCATTTGATATTAACAGGAATATATTGGTCATTTAAAAATACACATTTTAATAAAATAATAGAATAAAAATAATGAGAAGAGTGACATTGATTTAAATTTTTGCAAATGTACTTAATATCTGGCAAATTTGATTTGACTCCTGAGAGGGTATTGGGGGGACCTCTGGGGTCCTTGGATCACACTTTAAGAAACGCTACTTTAAGGCTTAGATTGAATACTCAAGATAGGATGATTTCTAATAAACACACAAATATATAACTTGATCTAGGTTTAGCCACACCTGACCTCTTAATAACAACCCTGGTACCACATTCAGAATAGTAGTAGTGAATCCAGATGTAAATTACATTTCAACTGGATTAAATTTAAGTAAAGTTAATACAATTGCTTCCCAATTCTGTAGTAATAATTTCTCTTTGTTTTAGATAGAAATACACAATTTGCTGACAGCTTTTGAACATCTCTGGGAGTCACATATAAAGTTTTCAGAGGTAGATGCAGCCTTGGAGTCTCAAGATTGAGCCCCTATAAATTAACAGAATTAAATGGAGACAAGGAAGGTCTGAATTGATGGGCCTTTTCCACTGACTTAGAACACACAGAGAATTAGCCAAGTTACATGTTATTTATTCAGAATAGTATAGCTCAAATACTATGCAGTATTTAAAATGAACATGGATTATAAAGGACTATATAGAATGGAAGAATAAGAAGAAAGATCACCTAGTTCAATACACTATTCAATGAAGGGTTCAGCTATTACAACATTTCCAACAGATTCATTCATTAATTCATTCAATTAATTTATATGGCTGCCCATCTCAAATATATAACTGGGCATCCAGCCTCTGTTAAGACATTCCAGTGAAGAAGAATCTGCTATCTTCCAAAATGGTCTAGTGCACAGGTGTCAAACTTGATCATGTCACATGACGTATCATGACATTTTTTGCCTTTGTAGAGCCGGGATGGGGATGGCCTGTGCGTGATGCATCCGGCCATGGGTTGCCAGTTTGACATCCCTGGTCTAGTGACAGGGGTATCACTTCTACTTACCTTTACTACCGGTTTGCAACGGGATCGAGTGCACACACACCAAGCTTCTGTGCATGCGCAGATCGTCTATGATGACATCCAGGTGGGTGGGCGGGCCCCGGTTTTACTACCAGTTCGCAAGAACCGGACCGAACCGGGGGCAACCCACCACTGTCTAGTGACTAGTCCATTGGTCAGGAACTCTTGATTAGGAAATTTTTCTGATGTCCAATCAAAATCTATTTTCTTATAGTTTAAATACCTTGTTTCTTCTCCCCCCCACCCCCAGAATATATCTGCCACATCATCAGATACTTGAAGATAATTATAACTAACAAGTGTCTCCAACTTTTTCTGGTGATTTTCCTTCCAAACTATTTATCATCTTGGTTATTCCCTATTGGACATGCACCATGTCAAATGTCTTGCTCAGAAAATTTGACCAATCTAGAATAGAGAGAAATAAGTGCTTTTCTTGATGTTTAAACTATAGTTGTGTTATTTATATTATGGCACCAAATTTACCTGAATCCTTTTCACATGTACTGTTACCCAGTATAGTCTTCCCTATATTTTGATTTTTTTTCTGCCCAAATGTAGAGTTGCATTTTTCCTGTTGAAATTAAACTTTCTGGTTTCTATCTATTTTTCCAACTTGCCAAGATCTTCCTCTTGATAAGATCTGAATCATATATAAAGTAATCTAAAGCTCCTCTTTAGAGAGAAAACCAGAGAAAAATATGATTTGAGAAGCTCTGCTCTAGTCCTGTTGCTATCTTTGCTTGAAGACTACCTTCTTTTAAAGTTGACATAATCCTCACAGCTCTCTTTCTTACTTTTAGCTTACCTTGTGAACCTACCATGTTTCTCCAAAAAGTCAACCCACCTTGAAAAGAAGCCCTATCACGTTTTTGAGTGCATGCGATCAAATTAAGCCTCACCCACAAAATTAGCCCTAATTAAGACCCCACCCACCCCGGATCCGGAGTTCTGTTATCAGCTGCACATGCCTTCCTGCAGGCATCTAAAGGCAAAACAGAGGCCAGAGTGATGCATGTGAGTGGCGGCAAGCGGCTGCAGAACAAGTGGGCCAACAGTGGGCTCCTGCTAGGTAGGGCTGTCGGTGCCACCGCCATGAGGTGAGTCAATAATTAGAACCCTCCAAAAAGAAGGCCTAGCCATTTTTTCAGGGGTCAAAAGAAAATAAGACCTGGCCTTCTTTTTGGAGAAACACGGTAAGTTGCTTTAGCACTTTAGATGTTCTTGTAAAATGATGATGCTTTACTAACTATAAGCCTCACCATAAAGTTTCATCAATAATTTAGACAAACTTGTATTCTGGAAAGTTAAAAGAATGAGAATGTGTGTGTCAATCGTGTCATTTTCAGGTTAATTAACATGTTTATTTAAATTCTTTTAATCTTGTTAGCACCATCTTGTGGTTGATGTAGCTCTTAGCATTTCAGGCTTTATGTCAGAATAAAATAATTGATCTAAAAAGTGTCTACCGTTGAATTACCTGCTATCATTTATAGAAAACATTAATTTTATAATTATGTTAGAAAATTCCTACAACAAGACAGAGGAGGCGAATATGCTATACTGTTCCCTATTATATTTACAAATATAGGCATTGATATGGCTTTTATGCATACTGACCACTGTGGAGCAACAACTATATGTTTCTCTACTTCAGGGCAGGCAGGTAACTCAGAAATTAGAATTGAAAGTGTTACTTTTCTTGTATAAGTTTGTTTTTTTTCAGCTATTATGTTGTACCCAAATGTTATCTGGAGCAGTCTTTCTCCTATAAACTGTGCAGTTCTTTCTTTGAATTTTCTGATTGTTCGCTAACATTCCTCTTGCTAATACTTTGTCCAATGGAGAAATTAGTTTTTCTGCATGAGACGATTGTTCAACTTTTTTGAATACTATTCTAAAATTAAGCTGTTATATAAGGTAGGGTCTAAGAACAACATTGCTGGCCTTTTATTTGTTGTCGTGTGCATTATGGTATGCACATAAAAAGTATGCAAGCTTTTAATTCAGTGGCCATTTTGAATATGTATCCACTACAATTAAAAATATTGTGCTTTTAATAACTCATCCTGTTGGATATTTATTAATTCATCATCAGGGCAAAACAAGTCATTTCAGCTATGAACCAGAAGTGGGATGGATATTTGTGTCATCCTTTGAACATGTCAACTGACACAGAAAATTCCCACCAATCAAACAAAAATATAGAGCCTTAATATTTATTTATAAGAGATGTCCAATGTGTATTGTTCAAGTATTCATGTTGGATAGTACAATAACCCACAAAGAACTATCTTTGCTTAGGGTAATTTTATATGGTCCTAATAAAACTGTACTTCAGTCATTCTGGGAAGTGTTTGATCTCTCCTGTGTTTTCTTTAATAATTTCAGCTACAATAGGAAAATTCTCAGAATCTATGAGATAATACATGCCAAAGGTATCTCCATCTAATCTCCATTTTTGAGAATATTTACCTATACAGACATATGCATGACAGTACAATGTGTTGAGTTCTACTTTGAGTTGGAAGCACCAAGGAATTAATGCCAAAACTATATTGAAGCAGCTGCTGTTTTAACAATGCAATTTTCTGTGAATATTTATGGTAACACCTTAAAATCTTCCTCCATTTCCATTTGTGTATAAGCCTTTGCTAGGCTTAGCAGAAATTTCTTCAGTTCTAGGCAAGGGGCTATTGCTCAGGCTCTAATAGTAAATTAATGATAACTTTAAAATTGCCCTTCATGCTGGCAGTTTCATTCTTTTAAAACCAAGCAGCCTGGGATCTAATTAGTTTCTTGGGAGGGGGGAAAACCCCTGGCTTCCATCCAATCCAACTCAGGCTCTATCTTTTTGCGTATGGTTTATGGAGGGTGGACATACTTTATGAAAACTTGGGTCTAGCATTTCCTGTAATACTGCCTTATCTTTTATGTAAATATGGATGTTAGTGTGTGGGAACGCTATCTGTGAACACAGACTCAACATCAACCAATACCCTTTTCAACTTACCATCAATGGTTTCTGTGATGCTATCATAGGAAAGCCACATTAATTTATGGTGGTAAAAATTCAGAAGTCTTCAGTTCACAGAAGCTTGTGCTTTTTAATATAATCTGTTAATAGATAAAGTTCCTTATCTGCCTTCTAATCCAGTGTCATCTTCCTCTGGATCTGAATCATTTGTTTTCACAACATATAAATCTAACATGTTCCAAAGGTGCTGTTTCAAGAGGCAACTGGTTTTTCTTTGAAGACCCTGATGACACAGATAAACCTTTAAGTGTCCTTAATGACCCACTAAAACAGGGGTGTCAAACTCAAGGCCCACGGGCTAGATCCGGCCCATGGGGTACTTAGATCTGGCCCACAGGGCCACCCTGGAAACAGCAAAGGACCGGATTGCGGTGCCTCTGTCAGTGAAAACAGAGCTCGGGAGGGCCACGTGCA